TGTGCTCACTATAGGGGATATGGTAAATACCAAAATGTACAAAGAAGAAAATAAAATCCACTCTTTTTTCAGTGTGTGCATGTATATGTTATAAGGCATAGGCAATTTACATCTTTTAAAATATTTAATATTATATCGTGAATGTTTTCCATGATGATTGATTTTTTTTTTAGTATATAAAACATCTAATATATATATCGTATTTGTTTCATGTCCTTTGCCCATTTTCAGTTTTTTTTACATTGAATTATATGTTCTTTGTGAAAACATTAGTGTTTTATCCAAGTTTTATAAGTATTTTTCTAGTTGTTATTTTGCTTTTTAATTTTATTTGCTTTTTTGATTTCCAGATTTTTAATATTTTTATGTTGTCTGTTCTTTTTCTTCCTTTGGTTTCTCTAATTATTTTTGTGTTTAGAAGATCCTTTCTTATCCTAAGAAGTAATAGATATTTCCTTTTTTTCTTTTCTTTTTTTTTTTTTAATGGTTTTATTTACACTTAACTGTTTCATTCATCTGGAGTTTATACAGGCAACTACCTTTTCTCTCACTCCTTTCCCAAAGTTAGCTAGTTGTCTCAATATCATCAATTGAATATTTCTTCTTTTCTCTTCTGAACTTTTATGCTACATTTTTGATATACTAAAATATTACATAGGGTCTGTTTCTGGGCTTAGGAGCACAGGTTTTGTGGAGTCAGATAGACCTGGGTTTGAGTTTCAGCTCTGTCTTCAGCAGTGGCCCTGAGCAAATTGTTTCTGCTTTCTAAGTCTCAGTCTGTTATCTGTAAAATGGACATAACAAGGCCTCGTTTATAGAGTTGTTATATGCAGTAAATGGAATATGTATGTAACATAAAGTACCTTGTCTAATGTCTGGTCTAGAATAAGCAGAAAATAAATGCCAGAAATAAATTACTTCCTGTTCTTTCCCACTGTTTTGTCTATCCTATGCCAATGACATATTGTTTAAAAGACTATGGTTTTGTAATACTTTGGTCCTACTGAGTTTTTAAAAAGTTCATGCATTTTATGAAGGCTTTTGCAAGTAGAGGCATACATTGTATGTTCCTGTCCACATGCAGTAGGGGATATGACAATACCATGGACATTTGTTTTTTAATTGTTTAGTTGCTTATTATAAATAAGGCCCTAACACACATAAATGTATGTGTATGTACATGTTTGTGTGTATTTAAAGAAATACATATGTGATGTGGATGTCTGGAAAACAAAAATCATAGCTGGCAAATTGGGCTCTCAGCAGGAGCCACAACCAGGTTGGCCTTGCTGAGTGGAAGTCCATGTTGTAGAGCCCATGCATAACCACCGTCCCTGCCACCATGGCCACTTTGCTCATGAGCCCCTTGGGCAATGACAGGGGTGGCTGTAGAAAGTGGCTGACTGGTATTCACCAAATGGGTCATCCTGTCCACCTGATTATTAAAGTCCTCCTCTGCTGAGGTCACCCTTGGTGAGCGTTTACATGGGACATAAATGTCTCTACCTTTTTTTGCCCATTCAGAGAATTCTGTCCATGTACCTCTATCCCAAATTTTCTTGTCACCTATTTTCCAGTTATGTTTCTTCCAGGTTGCTGACCAATCTAGCCAAACCATTGGCCACAGCCCATTAATTGGTATATAATTGCATGTATGGCCATTTCTCCTTCCAAGCAAAGTAAACAACCAGATATATTGCCCACAGTTCTGCCCAATGAGGATTTCCCTTCACCTCTGTCCTTCAGGGCTTTCCAAGAGAGGGGCTGTAGTATTATAGCTGTTCACTTTTGGGTGATGCCTGCATATTGTGGAAACCATCTGTAAGCCAGCTGTAACCAGCTCTTTTCTTCTTATGTCAGTTCATCTTAGGGCATTCCCCCATGAGGCCATAGGTGCAGGCTGGGAGAGAGAAGACAGTGTAGCAGGAGTTGGGAACATGGGCATTTGGCCCACTTCTTTATGTCTCTTACTTGGGCCTTCAAGATCTGTTCATGCCTGATCACATATATACCACTTCTGTTTGATGACAGAGTGCTACTTTGCATGCCCAGTTTTATGGCTTGGTGGGCCATAATACACCCAGTTCATGATGGTCAGCTCAGGTCCTATGGTAGCTTGGTGGCCCATAGTCCTATGGTAGCTTGGTGGCCCATAGTCGAGTGTTCAGTCTCTGCTAAAGCCCAGTAGCAGGCCAAAAGCTATCTCTCAAAAGAATGATTGTTCACAAAGGATGGCAGGGCTTTGCTCCAAAATCCTAAGGGCCTGCACTATAGCACACCTCTATGGTAGCTTGGTGGCCCATAGTCGAGTGTTCAGTCTCTGCTAAAGCCCAGTAGCAGGCCAAAAGCTATCTCTCAAAAGAATGGTTGTTCACAAAGGATGGCAGGGCTTTGCTCCAAAATCCTAAGGGCCTGCACTATAGCACACCTTTAAGGGCCAGCCAAAGGCCCCAGACAGCATCCCTATCTGCCACTGCCACTTTAAGCACCATTGTATCTGCTGGACCATGTGGCCCAAGTGGCAGACTAGCTCACACAGCCACCTGGACCTGTTTGCAGAGCCTTCTCTTGTTCTGGACCCCACTCAAAACTAGCAGCCTTTCAGGTCACTCAGTAAATGGGCTGGAGTAACACACCTAAATGAGAAATGTGTTGCTTCCAAAATCTAATGAGCCCCACTAGGTATTGTAACTCTTTATTGGCAGAGGAGAGGCCAGGTGAACAACGTATTCTTCACCTTAGAAGGGATATCTTGATGTGCCTGACACCACCGGACCCCTAGAAATTTCACTGAGGTAGAACGCTCCTGAAGTTTTGTTGGATTTATTTCCTACTCTGTGATATGCAAATGCCTTACCAATAAGTTTAGAGTAGTTGCTACTTTTTTCTCACGAGGTCTAGTCAGCATGTCATCAATATAATGGACCAGTGTGATATCTTATGGAAGGGAAAGGTGATCGAGATCCCTGCAAACTAAATTATGACATAGAACTGGAGAGTTGATAAACCCCTGAAGTGGGACCGTGAAGGTGTACTGCTGGCCTTGCCAGTTGAAAGGAAACTGCTTCTGGTGGTCTTTACTAACAGGGACAGAGAAAGCATTTTCCAGATCATAGCTGCATACCAGCTACCAGGGGATGTGTTAATTTGTTTGAGCAATGAAACCACATCTGGTACAGCAGCTGCTGTTGATGGAGTCACCACCTGGTTAAGCTTATGATAATCCACCATCATTTTCCAAGATTGTCCTGTCTTCTGCACAGGCCATATAGGTGAGTTGCATGGAGATGTGGTGGGAGTCACCACCCCTGAATCTTTCAACTCCTTGAAGGTGGCACTAATCTCTGAGATCCCTCTAAAAAGTGGTATTGCTTTTGGTTTATTGTTTTCCTAGGTAGATACAGTTCTAGTGGCTTTGACTTGGTCTTTCTTACCATAATAGCCCTTACTCCATGGGTCAGGGAACAAACGTGGGTATTCTGCCAGCCGCTGAGTATGTCTATTCCAGTTATCCATTCTGGAACATGGGAAATAACCACAGGATGGGTTCAGGGACCCTCTGGGAGTCAGACCTGAGCTAAGACTTCATCACCTGACCTCCATAAGGCCCTACTGTGACTGGAGGGCCACTGTGAGGGTCTCCTGGAATCATTGTCAATTCAGAGTGTGTCTAGTAGTCTCTGAAAGGTCTGATTATTTCTCTTTCACCCATGCACAGTTATATCATCCATATTCATTTGTCAATCATTTATAGTTTTGTGACATTTATGGGGTTCTTTAAGAACTCAAAATGTCTCAAGTTCCTTTAATCTCCCATGGAGCATTTGTTCACAGTAAACATGTTCAATAAATATTCATTGACTGAAGGATTAAAAGTTATTAATTTTATCCTTAGGAATACTTTGGTAAAAATGAATTTAATTTAAAAAGATATTTAATGGCTGATCTGTAAAATTGTCAGTATGGATGTTTTTGATTGATTGTGCCTTTAATGTGTAAATCACATGTGAATTAGGCTAAATATGTGTTGACATTGCTTTTGTATGTGTAAATATATTTAGTTTGGATTAAATATAGTTTTTGGATTTTGGACACACAGGCTTGAGATGTTACATGTTAACCATATTACCTTGGAATGCCACTTAACTTCTCTGGGCCAGAATTTTGTAACATAAATAAATAAAATTCTAACCTTACTTATAAAACTTTGTATGGTGTAACAAGAGGTATCTGTCTACAATAAGGAAATGATTAAAACATCTTAAATGAGTACCTTCAGGCCTTATCGACCCCATTTCCTATGCTGCACGGCAGCCTCTCTCTTTCTCTTCAGGTCCCAGGCACTTCAGCAGCCGCGGGTTACTGTGCAGACATGGCCAAGTCCAAGAACCACACCACACACAACCAGTCCCGGAAATGGCACAGAAATGGCATTAAGAAACCTCAGTCACAAAGATACGAATCTCTTAAGGCGGTAGACCCCAAGTTCCTGAGGAACGTGCACTTTGCCAAGAAGCACAAGAAGGGCCTGAAGAAAATGCAGGCCAACAACGCCAAGGCCACGAGTGCACGTGCTGAGGTTGTCTAGGCCCTTGTAAAACCCTAGGAGTTCAAGCCGAAGATCCCAAAGGGCACCAGCCACAAGCTTGATTGACTTGCCTACATCACCCACCCCAAGCTCATGCCCACATTGCCAAGGGTCTCAGGCTCTGCTGGCCAAAGGCCAAGGCTCAAACCAAGGCCCAGGATGTGGCTTCAGTTGCAGCTCCAACTCAGGCTCCAAAAGGCCCCCAGGCCCCCACAAAGGCTCCAGAGTAGAGGCCTCTGTCTGCTAATGTGAGGACAGAAGGACCGGTGTGACCACTGGGCTGTTGTCTGCATGGGGCTGGTATCCTTCTCTGTTGTTTGTGTAAATAAACCTGAGACAGGATCAAAAAACAAAAAAACCAGCTTAAACAATGTGGTATACAAAAATGACACTGGTTTTTTTTTTTTGCTCAGCAAGATGGCTGACTAGAAGCAGCCAGCCCTTACCTCTAATGCAAAAAAGTCCAAAGGAACAAATAGTCACCTGTAGAGTGGAATGTCTAGGAGAAAACAGTGGAATCCAGTTAATCAGTGCAGAAACCCCCCCAAGACCTGGAAACTTGAGATAGCAGTGTAGAAGGATGGTGAAACTCCTGATTAGGACCAGCGTGGAATTTGGAGAGACCCTGCATTTCTGGGACAAGGTATGTGGGGAGTGGTTGGTGACATGTATGAGAAATTCAACAAAGAGATACAAGCAATAAAGAACCAACCAGAAATCCTAGAACTGAAGAATTCATTCAGTGAAATAAAAAATACAACTGAGAGCATAAACAGCAGGCTAGAACAAGTGAAAGAAAGAATTTTTGAACTAGAATAGGCTTTTTGAATTAACACAATTGGATGAAAAAAAATTTTAAAAAGCCTAAGAGATGTTTCGGATAACCTTTAGTGTACAGACATCCATATTATGGGTGTACAGGAAGGGGATGAGAAAGGAAAAGGCTTGAAAACCTATTTAATGAAATAATAGCTGAAAATTTCCCAAGTATTGAGAGAGATATGGTCTCACAGATCCAAGAAGCTCAAAGATCCCCAAACAGATTCCACCCAAAAAGGACCTTCCTGAGATACGTTATAATCAAATTGTCAAAAGTCATCAGTAAAAAAAGAATTCTAAAACAGCAAGAGAAAAGCATCAAATCACCTATGAAGGAATCCCCATCAGGCTAACAGCAAACTTCTCAATAGAAACCCCACAGGCCAGGAGACCGTGGGATGGTTACTAGAGGTGGGAAAAGGGGTTGGAGAGGTGTTAGAGAGAATTGGTTAGTGGACACAAAATATTACTTTTTGTAATGTTGAATATGCTAATTATCCTGTGTAGATCATCACACATTGTTCACAGGTATTGATATTCAGCTCTGTACCCACAAGTAATTAATATCAGCTATTTTTCAATAAATAAAAAGAAAGAAAGAAAAAAATTTGAGCACTGGAGTGAGACACCTGATGGTCTTCTGGTCATTGAGTTCTAGCTGGTGTTCTTCATCCCCTGTCAGCTCGGTGCTGTGAGTGTGGGCAACTGTAGAGTTTCTTGTAGGTTGGAACAAAGGGGGCAGAGATGATAAAATGATAGCCAAAATTTGTATTGTTATTTTTATTGTTATAATTAAAGTAGGAAAAGGTAAATAATGGACAGAAAAAAATAAAGTATCTATTTGTATACATTTTCTCGGTCTTTTATACTGTTAACAATCTGTAGAAAAATATGAAACTCTTCAGTTCCATAGACTGAAAAACAATGATATACTTGCTTACTGGGTTTTCCTTTTGGGGTGATGAAAATTCTGGAACTAGTTAATGGTGGTGGTTGCACAGCCACATTGTGAATGCATTAAATACTCTGAATTGTTTATTTTAAAATGGTTAATTTTATGAGTTTATTTAAAATAAAATCCAAATAACAATAAAAATTTGGAAGATAGGAGAATAATGGAATTAAGTTGTGGCCTTAAACTCAAGAACTAATTCTTCAGTTTTTGAGGTTATTTTTCCTCAGCAGGGCCTGAGTTTTGCTAAGCTGTTACTTATGACCAGCCACCAAGTCACACATTTATAACATGGTTGTCCAGTTAGAGATTCAGTCTGTTTGTTAAAAGATAACCACAATGAATCTGACTAGTCTCTGCAAGCACTGTATGCTTTATTTTGATTTGTCATCAGGAATAGATGATATGCTCTTTTGGACATTATAAAGGAACAATGCAAAATCCATGTATTTTTAAGTCCATTTTTAAGTTCCACAGAAGATTTAAAAATCAAACTTTTAGGTTATAAGCCGTCAACGTAAAAAATTATATTATGAATAGGCATTAAATCAAAAGTAAGTTCTTAATAAATTTTAATGTACTTTTAATGTTACTAACAGTAATTTTAATGTTACTAACAATTTACTAGTTAATTGGTCTCAACAGTTCAGTCATTTATTATAATATATATGAAGATAGTTACTGGATATTGATGTATTGTTTATAGTATTAAAAATAAAATAATCTTACATATTTGGTGTAGGAAATTAGCTTACTTAAATTTTGGTAGATCCTAACAGTGGCGTACTTTTTTTTTGCCATTATAGATTATAATGTGGATGAATATTTGTTTGATATGTAAAGATGTTGGAAAAAAGCATATTTATAATCTGATGCCTCTTTTGGAAAAAAATACATGTATATGTAAGTGCACAGAAAAATATCTTGACAGGTAAATACGAAGAATTTAACAGTATTTTTCTCGGGTGGTAGGATTGTATGATACAAACTTTCTTTTTTTGGTATTTCCATTATATAATTCTATAATGGACATGTGCTGATTTTTGTTATATGAAAAAAGTTGTGTTAAGGTAAAAAGTTATATAATGCATTGCTAAAATTGTTTTTTATTTGTTGTTTTTCTCGTAAGTAAAAAAGGCAGAGGCTATTCTAATTCTGAAGTTCTCATAACACTGTTTGAAAGCAAACTTTCAGCCTTTCCTCTTACACTTATGCTTTCTTGGTGGAATTTTATAAATTTTATGTGCCACTATTTGACTATTTGATTAGATCTTCAATTCTACTGAAATATTGGTTTTAACTTGGTTTTGTCATTTTGGAAATTATTGAATATGGTTTAACTCTAATTAATTTTCTAATTTAAATTCATGAAGTTTTTTTGTCTATGTTAGGAAAAGTGATACATTATTTGTATCATAGAATTGTATATTATATTTTGAAATATTTTGTGACTCCAGCAGATGGAGCTAGAAGTTAATGCAGTCTATAGTGATCTGGCAGTTCATTCTTGTTTTGTTTTGTACTAAGTATTCTGGGACTATTAAACAACACTTGAATTCAAATACCTCTCTTGGGGATGGGCATCAGATATCTTTCACATAGGTTGCCATTGATACTGATTTAGACAAACTTAACATTTCTGAACTTTTAGGGTCCTGCTGTTATATTGAAATATGTAATTTTATCTTTCTGAAGCAGAGAGATTTGACTAATATAAATATGTATATTTACAAATTAATATGAAATAACATAAAATGTGTGTATTGACCTTAATAGTAATTTTAAATTTAAGAATGTTTTATCAAAATTATAGAATATTATTAAGGGATATTTGTGTATGTGTGTATGATGTATGTTTGTAAAATGCTAGCAACTTATTAAGCTTTGCAAAGTTGCAAGGTACATGAAGAAAGGGCATCTAATTTCATGGCAAACTAAATTAGCGGGTATTCAGAACGTTTCCAATAATCCTGCATCACTTTCTTAGTTGTCTAGCAGACAATGCACTTGTTACGACCTGTTGATAAAGATTTCTTTATTTAGCTGTGGTTAACTATCTTGGTTTTAAGTAGGTTTACTGGTTAGTGAGAATAAGATACTTTTTACTGATTTGTGAGCTTTATCTAAGGCAAAGTTTTATTTTTTAACTTCTGACTTACAGAGAAGAATTTGAATTTGTAGTTTTTACTGCATGAAAGAAACATATATATGTATAATCATAAAGACAAATTTTGGAATAATATATATTTATAGACAAATAGCAACAATAAAAAGTGTCTCCTTTTGGGCTGTGAATGAAAGTTTTTTTCCCCTGTTTATAAAAAATATAGTGGGCCCTTACCATTCTAGTATTTTTATTTATGGTTACAACCATTTGAGAGCAGTCTTTGAGACTTCCTGACACGTGGTGATTTTTAATTTGCTGCAGCTAACATTCAGATTGTGTTTTTACTGAGGCTAGTCAGTAGAGGGAGCCACGTGGTTAACAAGTGAGCCTAGCTCAACATCCCCATCTTCATTCAGCTTTGTTGCTTTCTGCTCTTTTTATGCATTTTATGGGAGAAGTTATATATTGGATATGGAAAATTTTGAGTTTCACAAAGGTGTTTAAATATGTGCTTCATGATTTTTAGGGGACTTTTGTGTTCTTTATAGAAAACTTAGAATATGCAGAAAAGTAGGAAGAAGAAAAATCATAATTCTGCTACATTCATATTGTTGGTGTATTTCTTTGTGATTTATTTTCTATGCCTAGTTTTTTGTCATTGTCATTTTTATGTATTTTTAATCTCATATGTAACAGATTTTTGTTGTATAAGCTTTTTTTTTTTTTTTGTCTTTTGTCTTTTTCCGTGTCCGGCAACGGATCGCAACCCTCAGTGTTGCCCCCGTACCGGACCGGGGACCGGCAACGGGATTGCAACCCTCGGTGTTGCTCCCGCCTCGGGCAGGAGCGCCGCCGCGCTTCCCAAGTGGCGCACTTATCCAGTGCGCCACCGGGCTGGCCCCTATATAAGCTTTTTTAGGTGAAATTTTAATGAGAATGAGAATAATTCTTTTGGAAAAGGGTTGGCAGCTAATTTTAGCTATAGCTCACATTTTCTTGTCTTTATATGGTCTAAATATTGGTGTACACCAGAAGTTTTCAGTTTTTTGGACCATTTGTATCATGTTGATACAGGGCAGGGAGAGGCACTGACACTTGCTTAACATTTTGGGTATTATTTCTCTTCTGTTCTTCATAAGAGCTTATGAATTATACCTTATTTCATACATGAGGAAACTGACTGATAGAGTTGAAGTTCCTTTCAAGGTCTTATATAGCTCACAGGTGCAAACTCAGGTTTGTCCTACATAAAGTGCCGCTCACTCAGACATCTGCTGTAAGGACTGGTAAGATCTTTTTAATAACAAATAGCGTGACAGACTTGGTTTTATTAGAGTACATTATAGTACACTAAGTACATATAGTACATTCAATTTTTTTTCATTGAAATTGGATTTTTAAAAATCTGTAGTTAAAACATATTTGATGTTTTAAGAAGGCTTGAGTATGAATGGGCACACCCATGTATAAACAACTGAGAAAACAAGTGTAGAAATATTTTGTTCTGTTTTACTGCATTCCAAAGTGCTCACAAACTGAGCATTTTGTTTTACACTGATGGGTAGAATTAATGGGATATCATTTCCACTATTTTCCATAGTAAAATCTTATTAAACCAATGTGCTCTTTTTGGCAGATAATATTTACAAAATACAAACTATTGTGCCTTTTTCACCCAGAATGTTAAGTATGAGATCTCATACAGTAATGTAGAAGGAGCAAGAGATCCGGGATCTATTCCCAGGTCTATCATTTGTAAGTTATG